GGGCCGGACTGCCCACCCCATGCCCCCTCTTTCGGGGCGGGGGGAGGTCCTTGAGGCGCGTGAAGACTGAGAGGGAGAGGCTGGGGAACCCGCGACGCCCTGCGCCCCCTTCCTCCTAATGGGCGCCTGTAATTGCCCGGCGGCGGGACCGTTGGCTGCAGCGTGGGACGAGGTGGCCCAGGAGGGGAGACTGAAGGCCAGTAGGGGCTCCTCTCGGTCCCATGCCCTCATAGAGTCGCCCCAGGATCCGTCAGCCCCTCGGGCTAGGTAGGTTGAAGTCAGACCCCTATCCCCTCATCCCAGGGAGAGGCAACTTGGCGCGTAGTGTCCCCAGCCGCCCAAGGCCCTCGGTTCCTTGTGGGCGCGGGAATGGGACCGAGGAGCCGCCACCCCCTCCAACCCCGTGCTCGCTTGGGAGGCCGAGCCGGGGACTCTCTCGCCCACCCCCGCGTGTTGCCCACTTGGCCTGGTGCCCAGGTCCAGGGCGGGGCGGCGGCACCGCCCGCAGGTCAAACTGCCGCGGACTCCCGGGCCTGACGCCGCGTGTCTGTGTCGGGGCGCCGCCCCTCCCTCCGCAGTGGGCCTGGGCCGTCTGCTCCACGACCCCCCCGAGGACTGCCGCAGCGACGGCGGCAGTAGCAGCAGCAGCGGCGGCAGCAGCAGCGCGGGGGAGCCTGGAGGCGCCGAGAGCAGCTCGTCCCCGCGCGCCCCCGAGCGCGAAATCCCCGAGCCTGGCGACGCAGAGGGCCCGGGTGGACACCTGGCGGCGATGCAGCGCCCAGTCGCTAGGTCGAAAATCAAGGTATGGTGTCGACTCTGCCCCCGCCGCCACCTGCACCACGCCCTGGCGTCGGGCTCCGGGAACCCGCGCCCCTCCCTGCAGCTCCCGCCCGCGCACCCGGGCACCGGTGCACCCCGGCACCGAGCGCGCCCGCCGCGCCGTTCCTGCACCTGCCTCTGGGTCTCGGCCAGGGCGGCTCAGCGCGTCCTCCCGCCTGCTGGGTAGCCAGCGGCCCGCGCCGCTGAGCCTTGGAGCCGGCACAGTCTGCCGGGGTGGCCTCTGGAACTGCTTAAAAGACCCAGGCCCAGCTTCCTCCCTCCAGCAGCCCAGTGTGTGTGCGGGGCCTGAAGAATCACCAGGCCGTCGGGGTTCCCGGGTTCAGAAAGGAGGGACCCAGGCTCTCAGCAGTTGCGTTCTCTGGGGCGCATTTCCTAGCGCTATGTGAATTCTGAGTTCCACACACTTGCTTGCGTTCTGGAGACCGAGGCGGCAGTTTGGCACACAGTGGCCCTCTCGCAATAACAGCTATTCCCAGTGACAATTATGGAGTGCCCGTTAGACTCGAGGCCTGTGCTGGGCACTTTAAATTTGTCATACCTCTCCAATCTTCTTTAATTAAACTGATGGATAAAGGAGTTCACCTGAAAATTGCCTCAGTGCCCCGCCCCCAGTGGGTTGGAGTGTTTGTTACCCTCCCTTACCATCCTTCAGCAACCCCCTCCCTCTAGTCTTCTAGAATTGTAGGCGACATCTTATCAGGACACCCATCTGGCTTTTCTGGGTAGAACTTCCATGATCGCCTGCTCAAATGTATCCGCTACCCCCAAGATTAAGGAATCCCATTCCACTGACTCAGTCAGCTGGAGCCAGGGAGTGGTGTTTTAGGAATCACATGACCCCATTTCCGAGCTTGGTGGGACTTTGCGGGCTCCAGGCCCTCTTAGTGGGCGATAATTCTGGAGCGCTCCAGGGCGGTCCTGCAGCCCAGCCCGGGGCGGGGGGGGCGGGATGGGGGTATGGGGAGGAGGACCTCCAGTGCTGTGGATTGGGTGACACTAGGTTACTTTCCCTGGGCGAGGCCATCCCTCCCTATGCATGTTCCTGGTTCCTGGGGTTTAGCTTGGGGGCGGGCTAGGGTGCATTTGGTTATGAATTGAGGCTAGAGGCTGGAGCTGGAATCCTCGGGAAAAGACCTCTTTAAAGGTTACTGCGGTGCCGCGTGCTGCTCCCTGGTAAGTGGTGCTGCTGAGGTTCAAAGTCAGCTGGCCTGAGGCTTTTCTGGGCCAGATGGGGTTAAGTGGGAGGGGACAGTTTGCCTGAGGCTGGTAGCTCTGCCCTCCAGGAAATTCTACTAAGTGTCCCACTTGCATATTTATCACCGGGCTGGAAGGACAATTGCAACGTTGTTTTGGGATTGACTGTCGTCCGTTTGCCCCTCTGTCCCCCAATTTCCCAGATTACCCTGGGAAGAAAGTGGCAGGGGAGAAAGGTCTAGTCCCTTAACCAGCATTTTAGGAGCTCTCTCTTGTCTCAGGTAAACAGTGCCATCGTAGCCCTGGATTAAAGGAATAAATAAACCACAATCTTATTTCTGTGATCTTGCCTACAAACCGCCCCAAGGGCTGCGGGGTGGTGAGTTTGCTCCTCAACCTTAGCAAAGCTTCCGGAGAAGTTTTATTTGTTTACTGAGGATGCTTAGATTCCTTTTCCCTTTCAGCTTCCGTCCGAAAATAGGAGATATCTTGGTGTTAAGATGCTCCAAGCCTCCAGAATTATCATCTGTGGTATTGGCCGTTTTCAAATGACTGTCCAAGTTGCCCGTGATTTAGCATATTGGGTAATTCTCTAGTTCTGTGAAAAATATGCTGGACTTTTAAGAATTAGGTTCTCCAAGCGCCTGGTGGCTCAGTTGGTTGAGCATCCTCTTGATTTTGGTTCAGGTCATGATCCTAGGGTCATGGGATCGAGCCCCTCCTCGGGCTCCACGCTGAGCATGGAACCTGCTTAAGATTCTCTCTTTCTCTCTCTCTCTCTCTCTCTCTCTCTCTCTCTCTCTCTCTCTCTCTCTCTCTCCCTCTTTCTCTGCCCCTCTCCCCTGCTGGTGGGCTCTCTCTCTCTAAAATAAATTAAAAATAAATTAGTTTCTTAACTAGAAGAAAAGAAATACCACTCAAGAATGAGGCCCATGCATGAAGCATAATGATTGAGTTTGAATAACTTCAAGACACTCACTAAGCAGCTGGCTCAGAGTAGAGGAGGGGCAGGTTTGAGCCAGTGCCCTGCGGAGAGAGGCAACATCCCATCTAATTTTTTGGAGTGCCTGCTGTGTGCTAGGCAGCCAGGAGATAAAAATGTTCCCAGCCTGGTGTTCTAGAATCATTTGACCAAAACAGTTAAGCCTCCAGGCTCTGGTTTTGTCACTTCTTAGCTGTGTGACTTTAGGCAAGTTGCTAATCTTTCTGGGCCTCTGTTTCCTTGTCTGTGAAATGGGAATAATAATGAAACCTACCTCATAGAGTGGTGAAAATAAATGAGTAAAGAGGGGAATGTGATAGGTGCCCTTTAACTCTAGCTGGGATTGTCTGGGTTGGTGGGGAGACACAAATACTAATTATTAACTCTGTTACAGCAAAGGGAATGCTAAAGCATGTGCAAAGATGTAATTCTGAGCAGGGAAGTTTTCTTGGTGTGGATTTGAGGGTGAGGAAGGGGGGGAGAGTCAGGCTTTAGGGGCATATGGCTGAGCCCAAAACTTGAGTCAGTAAAGGACTCAAAGCTATGGTGCCCGAAGATAGAAAATGGACCTGCTGGGTCAGAGAGCAAGTGGGGAGGTGAGAAACTGGGACAGGATGAGGTGGTGAAGGGGCCAAGCCAAGAGGTGGGGGTGCACTTGGGCAGGCAGAGGAGGGCTCTGGAAGGGTTTTGAGAAGGAAGACCTCAGTTGGGTCCATCTTACCAGCTGTCTTTGAGATATATTATCTGTCCCGAGTCTTTTTTTTTTTCTTTTGTATTAGAGAGGGTGCAAGTGAGCAAGGGAGAGAGGGAGAGAGAAAGAAGCAGGGCTCCCCGAAGCAGGGCTCTAACTCATGAGCCATGAGATCATGACCTGAGCTGAAGTCAGATGCTCAACTGACTGAACCACCCAGGGGCCCCTCTGTCCTGAGTCTTACTTCCCTCATCTGTAAAATGGAAAAGCAATAGAATCAGCCTCTCAGAAGTGACGGTTAGATGAAATAAGGGCTGCAGAATGTCTAGCACTTCTGTGCATGTATAAATTGCCAGTAGGAAGTTAGTTTAATAGTGATGGATGGCAGATTTCGTTAACGTCCAGTATTTTGTTGTCTCCAGTGGGGACTAGGGATTTGCCAATCTGGTTGTGCTTGTGAGTAGATCTGGAAAGGAGTCCTAGGTGCTGGTTAGGAAAATGGCTCTTCCCAGCCTGTCTGCCTTCTGACTGTGTGCCTCAGTGCGGTTTGCAAAATCGTCTCTTTACTGCTGAGGATTCAGTAATTTTCCAAACAGATTCGGGGGTGGGGGGGTGGGGGGTAGATCATGTGCATCTGAGAAGGCGGTCGTGACAGGTCTAGGTGGCTTTAAGTCTCTTTTGTCCTGGGCCCATTTGCAGGAATCTAGCTGTGGAGCAGAGACCCCCAGACACCCTGATCACCATTGCCCTTGCTTTGAAGGTTTATCAGAAACTAAGTAACTCTGAAGTGAAATCAGTCAATTGACTGATGTTTTTCCTTCCTGTCTCAGTGGGTGGTGGGACCCAGGTGCAAGTATAGAATAGCAAATGAATCTCCTCCTTTTCCCCTTCTGTTCCCTTCCTTTGGCCTCTTCCAAGGATACTTCAAAAGGAACTGAGTGTAGAATTCCTTCTAAAGTATTTTTGGTCTTTTACCTGGCTCTGTAGTCTGAGTCTTCAAGTAGTGCCAGATATGTGAAGGTGCAGTAGTCTTTTTCCTTTTTTTTTTTCTCATCATTTTTCATTTGTGAAGACTTTCAGAGGCATAGGGCCCGTTACCCCACCCCAACAACCGTTCTTCTATGGCTGGTCCTGCCCATCCAGCCCCCATCTAACGCCCGACATGTGATTTTGAAGCAAATCTCAGTTATCCTATTATTTCAACCATAAATAACTCAGAATGTGCCTGTGATAGATAAAGATCAAGGTACACGATCACACCCATGTTAACAATGGTGTTCACATTGCTAATTGTCTCATAAATCCATACTTTTTTTTTTTTTTT